TAAACCTGACGAATGTAAAAATAAGAAATAAAATGGTGTAGAGATGATACAAATGGCATAAAATGAACAAAGAAAATTATGATATATAACAATAATGAAATTATGATATATAACAACAATAAAATTATGATAAAATATGACTTAAAGATTTTTATAATATCATTTCACAGTACTGGACATATAGCCTACTCAACTTACGACCAAATCGTGTTACGACTGGTCTGTCGGAACCAATCATGGTCATAAGTCAAGCACTAGCTGTACTTTGGAAGGCTGAGGTGGGTGGATCACCTGAGGTCAAGGCCAGCCTAACCACCATGGTGAAACCCTGTCTCTATTAAAAATACAAAATTAGCTGAGTGTGGTGGTGCATGCCTGTAATCCTAGCTACTTGGGAGGCAGAGTGAGGCAGGAGAATTGTTTGAACCCAGGAGGAAGAGGTTGCAGTGAGCCGAGGTAGTGCCATTGCATTCCAGCCTGGGCAACAAGAGTAAAACTCCTCCCCTGCCTCACTGCTGCCCCCCAAAAAGAAAAGTCAACAAATAAAATTGAATCAGGACTTTAACATCTTCCCAAAAAGAATGATCCAAGCCCAGATAGTTTCTCTGATGAATCCTATCAAATATTTGAAAATTATGCCAATTCTTCACAAACTCATTCAGAATGCAACAGAAGGAACACTTCCCAATTCATTCTATAAACCCAGTAGTTCTTCACTGTTGAAGACAGAAAATATCCTCATAAGCAAACTACAGGCCGGGCATGGTGGCTCATGCCTCTAATCCAAGCACTTTGGGAGGTTGAGGCAGGCAGATCACTTGAGGTCAGGAGTTCATGACCAGCCTGGCCAACATGGTGAAACCCTGTCTCTACTAAAAATACAAAAAATTACCCGGATGTGGTGGCTGGTGCCTGTAGTCACAGCTTCTCAGGAGGCTGAGGCACAAGAATCACTTGAGTCTGGGAGGCAGAGGCTGCAGTGAGCCAAGATCGTGCCACTGCTCTCCAGCCTAGGCGAAAGAGTGAGACTCTGTCTCTAAATAAATACACAAAACTACAGGTAACTATCCGTCACTAATACAGACACAAAAGTACTTAATATTTTAGCAAAATGAATCCAGTAACATGTAAAAAAGGGTTTATATGAAGGCCAAAATGGATTTTTCCAATGAACAAAAGACTGGTTTAATATTATTATAATTACTATCCCACATTACTATAGTATAAAACATAAACCTCAACAGAGGCAGAAAAAAGCATTTTACAAAATCTAAAGCTTATTCACAACAAAAACTCTTAGCAAACTAGAAACAGATAAAAAATTAAACTGATAAAAGGTAGCTACAAAAAACCTCACAGCCAACACCATACTTAATTATGAAAGAATAAATGTTCTTCACCTATGATAAGAAGTTGCTTTTACCACTTCTATTTAACATTGTACTAGATCTTCTAGCTAATACAATATAGCAAAATGGCATTCATAAATTGTTCAACTGCAGATGATTCTACATGCAGAAAGCCCCAAGAAATCCACAATAAAACAAGAAATAAAGAGAAGCAGTATCAGAGATATAAGATCGATATAAAAATCAATTGTATTTCTGTACAATGTTAACAAAATAAAAAAATAAAATTTAAAAGCAATTCCATTTACAATACAAGTAACAAAATAAGGACAAATTTAACAAAATAAGTTCAAGACTTGTACACTGAAAATTACAAAACTATTGATGTTAAAAATGGCAAAGATAGTTAAAAAAAGGTAAAACGAGTAATTGGCTAACTTAATATGCGGATTTAAAATTACCAGTGAAATACAGTAGTTTATCAAAATAATTCTACATTATGCCAAAGCAAGGTTAATTCAAGAAAAATACAATTCAGTGTCAGAAAAGGCATACGCATCAATTGGTGCTAAAAGGCACTTGATAAAATACTGTTTGCTTCTAATTAAGAAACAGCAAAGTAAAACAATTTGAATATAATAAAATATTTTTCAAAAGCCAATATTCTAAACAGCAAAACACTACTAGAGCTCATTCAACTCAATGAAAATAGATGGGGGAGGACATTATCACTAGTAAACTCTGCCTTAGAGGTAGAGAATGTGACATAAATCATTGGAAAAGAAGAAATGCAAATATCACTTTAGGCAGATATCAAGTATAAATAGATAACCCAAACACTACTAAAAAGGTACTAGACTTAATGAGAAAAATTTGTAAAGTACTTAGATATAAGACAAATATTCAAATATGAACAAGTTTTGTCTACACTTAGCAAAAAATACCTGCAAAAAGAGAATGGAAAGTAAAATTTCATTAAAAAAAAAAAAAAAAAAAAAAAAAAAAAAAATAAAAAAAAAAAAAAAAAAAAAGGTAACATACATAGGAAAAAACTGACCAGAAAAGTCCAGAACCTAAGGAAAGTAAATTATAAAATCTCACTGAAAGACATAAAACAACCCAAACAACGGCAAGTGTGCAGTGGCTCACACTTATAATCCCAGAACTTTGGGAAGCTGAGGTAGGCAGATTGCTTGAGCCCAGGAGCTTGAGACCAGCCTGGACAACATGGCAAAACCACACCTCAAAAAAAAAATACAAAAATTAGCCAGGTGTGGTGGTGTGCGCCTGTAGTCCCAACTACTCAGGAAGCTGAGGTTGGAGGATCACTTGAGCCAGGGAGGTCCAGGCTGCAGTGAGCTGTGTTCATTCCACTGTATTCAACCTGGGTGACCCAGTCTCAAAAAAAAAGGAAGAAAACCCAAACAAATAAAAAAACACCCCATGTAACTGTAGACAAACATACGATCACAATAATGCCAATGCTTCTAAAATCAGCAAATAAATACAAGCAAGTCTGATAAAAATACCAAAATAATTTTTCTAGGATTGGAAAAATATAAATCTTAAGGCTTACATGGAAAATTAAACAAGAAAAGTAAGAAATGTATGAAAATGGATAATAATGGGGAAAACTGCCTAGCAGACTGTGGAATCATTTTTAAAGTAGGTTCTCATTTCCCAGGAAGGAGAAAATTTGATAATATTCATATCTGACATTGGTACAAATTAAATTAAATATTGATAAAATATTATATATGAAAATGAGGGCCAGTGTTTATAAAACAGAACATAAACTAAGCGTATATATTTTAATTGAATATATGATAAAATATTAATAAAAATAGCAATTATGAAAACTTTACACAAAGAATCTTTTTTTCCATAATCCTCACAACAGCCCCCCAAAACTCTACCTTTATTGTAAAGTTAAAGAACTTGGGAGAGAGTTAAAGAACTTCCTCAAGGTCACATTTCTAATTCATGACAAAGTAGTAAGTATTTAAATAACACAGAAGTAAGTTCAAATGAAAACAGCATGTAATAGTTAAAAATGAATTCTATATGCTAATAAAGAGAATTTTTATCCACATGTATATGTTAGTCCAGGTCCTCCTTAAATTGAACTAGGAAACTATGTCAGTAGCCCAGTGACATAGTGAGCTGAATAAAAGGAAAAAGTATAGTGACAAGGTTTAAATTATGCATTTCCTGGCTGGATACAGTGGCTCACGCTTGTAATCCCAGTATTTCGGAAGGCCAAGGCAGGTAGATTATGAGGTCAGGAGTTTGAGACCAGCCTGTCCAATATGGTGAAACCCTGTTTCTACTAAAAAATATAAAAATTAGTCATGTGTTGTGGTGCATGCCTGTAGTCCTAGCTACTCAGGAGGCTGAGACAGAAGAATCACTTGAACCTGGGAGGTAGAGGTTGCAGTGAGCCAAAATCGTGCCACTGCACACTCCAGCCTGGGCGACAGTAAGACTCTGTCTCAAAAAAATGAAAATTATGGATTTCTTCTTCTTTTTTTTTTTTTTTCCTGAGATGGAGTCTTGCTATGTCTCCCAGGCTAGAGTGCAGTGGTGCGATCTTGGCCTCCCTGGTTCGACCGATTCTGCTGTCTCAGACTCCTGAGTAGCTGGGGTTACAGGCATGCACCACCACTCTCGGCTAATTTTTGTATTTTTAGTAGAGACAGGGTTTTACCACGTTGGTCAGGCTGGTCTCAAACTCCTGACCTCATGATCCACCTGCCTTGGTCCCTCAAAGTGCTGTAATTATAGGCATGAGCCACTGCACCTGGCCTCATTTCCTTTTTAAAAGTTGCTATTGTCCCCATCATATGGTGCTAGCTTGTACTTCTTTTGTAAAAACCTAATATTATTAATAAAAAAATAAGGGGTCACCATTCAGAAGCCAAATTACAAGTATTTACTATTTTAGTAAATATTCAAGGAGGAAAAATATAGAAGATTAAAAAATTAAGGTAGGGTGACCATATGATTTATATTCCAGCTCATGACACTTTTGTGAATGAAAGACGGCACTAATAGTAATTACAATGGTACAAATGGTGTAAGCTAAAACTGTCCCAGACAAATACAGACATATGGTCACCTTAGTCAAGAAAAATAATTTACCAAATGATTATTTGGTATGATAATAATAGCAAACATTTCTTTGAATACTACTACGTTAGCAGGAACTCCATGATACAGGACTGTCTTATCCACTGTCCCTAGGTGGCTGCTTTGTGCATAGTAGGCAATCAATAAACAATTGTTGAAAGAACAGTTTGCCTTAAAAAAAAGTGTTCCTGTGTCTATACAACATAGCTTAATAATAGCTTGTTATTACGATCTTAAGTTTGTGAATAAGTAATAAGCATTAATTAATGCACATAAATACGAAGAAAAACGACAAAAATTAACAAATTCATATCTATGTATTAAAGATAGGTGTCAGAATAGTGTAATTAAAGTATAGCACTAAATGAGTAATAATGGCATACTGTATACTTCTAATTTAGAGCTTAATAAAAAAAAAAACAATATTTAAACCTACAAGAGAGTTGTTTTAAAATGCTCTCCTATCCTTACCATGATACTCAACCAACATCAAAGGAAGACAGATCTGCTTTCATTTCTTACCTGCACAGCCGAAAGCCAAATGGTATCTGGAAGAGGGGCTGAATTTAACACAGCACACGTTAGCCTTCGCCTCAATGCTTGCCACTGAGTTGTCTAGATTGGTGGACCACAGCTTCACTAAGGACAAAGGACAATAAAAACAAAAGGAGAAACAAGTAATACATTAGTAAATGCCTCTGTAACTTGGAAAGTTTGCTTATTGCTCCAGAAATCTTTGTGTGCCAAAACATTTTGGTTTACTAGGACTAAAAATGTTAAAGCTGTATATATTTGTCAATTCTCACACTACCAATAAAAACATGCCTGAAACTAAGTAATTTATAAAGAAAACAGGTTTAACTGACTCACAGTTCTACATGGCTGGGGAGGACACAACAACGGCAGACAGCAAATGAGGAGCAAAGTCACCTCTTACATGGTGGCAGGCAAGAGAGCTTGTGCAGGGGAATTCCCATTTATAAAACCATCAGATCTCACAAGACTCATTTACTACCACAAAAAAAGTATGGGGGAAACTGCTCCACAATGATTAAATTATCTCCACCTGGCCCTGTCCTTGACACATGGGGATTATTACAATTCAAGGTGAGATCTGGGTGGGGACACAGCCAAACCATATGACCGAATGACTAAGTAACAGAATAACATTAAAACCAAGAGAGCTTACTTTCAATGTCAAAAATGAATATAGATAAAAAGGTTGGACATGTTGGTTCATGCCTGTAATCACAGCACTTTGGGGGGCTGAGGCAGTAATCACTTGAGCTCAGGAGTTAAGAGACCAGCCTGGGCAACATGGTGAAACCTTGTCTCCACTAAAAATACAAAAGTTATCTGGGCATGGTGGCCCAGGACTGTAGTGCCAGCTACTCGGGAGGCTGAGGTGGAATAATCACTTGAGCCCAGGAGGCAGAGGTTGCAGTGAGCTGAGATCATGCCACCAAA